GCAGTTGTGGCGGTATTATCAGCGCCAAAGGGATCGGGAATATCTGTAATAATTGACAAACAAATGAAATTCATAGAGAATAGTGACAATTATAACAGACATCGTATAAAAAGAGGTCAAAAATAGTGGCTCTAATAGTTGCTGAGAAATTAAGATCTTCAGTCATGTGGTGGAAGTAATGTCCGGCCCATAAGATGTTAATTTCATGCATTGCTCGGTGCGTCCAATAAAGTGAAAGTTCACCCAAAAGTAAGGTCAGAATCCAAGTCCATATCGAGTCGACCGGTAATTCAATGATATGATAATTATCGTAGATATAGAATAACATGAATACGATTCCGCTTATTATAAAAGATCTGCAAATAAAAAACAAAGCTTTAATACTACAATTCACTATATTTGCTGATATCAAGGTTTATGAATACAATACCGGCTTAAGACAAATATGAGAGATGCACCCAAATTGATGATAAAGTCTTGGAATCGACACAAATCCTTGCGTTGAACCAAACGAATGATTTGTTCAATAATTAATAGCATCACTATTACTGGGATAAACTTCAGTACAGAATTAAATGAGTATAGGTTTTAGCAAAAATTGTGCTGGATCATGACTAACTGTAACTTCATATTTGGTGGCCTCATTCTGTTGGTCATCGGACTGGGTTTGTTCCATACGGACGAGTGATACCAAGTGTTGGATCAATGAAGTGGTCGTCTCTTTGATGCATTCTTCAATAGTAGAGATATTTGTGCTCAAAATAATTGATTCGTTTGTCTCATTCATTCTGTCCATTGAATTAATATCAGGTAAAACATGTTTTAGTAATTATTATATTTAATTTAGTAATAATTATTATATAATTATTTTAAAACTAAATTTTTATTTGCAACAAAAATTCTTACTTTACTTATTTATTAAGAGAAAGTTGTTTAAAACTTTTATCGACAAGTAGTTTGACAGTGATAGTAACTAAATGACAAAAAGTATTTAAAAGTTTATAAATAATTGTTTTGTCTGATGTACACTGGATTTTAGCATTTTGTCTATATCTCAAGGATTTTAAAATTAATTATAAACTTAATGATTTCTTTAATGATGTTTGTAATATTTATAATGAATAAGTTAGTTAGGACTTTAAGTAAGCAAGTTTTTAATAAAGAATCCAAAAAATTATTTAACTCAGACACTGCATCAAATAGTTTTCTATACTGTAAATGAATATAAAGTTGTGAAATGTCTGCGAAATTCAGAATAATTGTAAGAAATTTTTTAATATTCAGGTAGAATATTAGTAACTAATTATTTGGCCCTGAGTCAAGTTCTTTTAACAGAGAAAAACATTTTAGAGGACATAATAAATAATATTATGTTTTTAGTTAATTTAAAAATTATTATTTTGCTTAATTCTTAGAACTATCAATCGAGACATTTAATTATATTTTAATTGAATTAATTATGTAACTCTCTATTCAATGCAAACTACAAAATTAGAGATTATGAAATACATTGATTGCATAAATTGTCATCAAAACCTTGAAATATCATTCAAACAAACTATTTTTGGAGAACATTCAGGTTGTTGCCAATCTTACTAGTAAGAAATTGTATTTATTTATTTATTAAATTGTGTAAAAAATTATATTGTATGAAAATATTTTTAACACTAATAACTTATGTTATTGAATTCAAAATATAAATTACATAATTATTCCATTCATTGGTTAATATAAATTATTTAAGTATAGGAGGTAATAGTTATTATTTGTAAATAAGTTACATTTCCTCAATACGAGTATTAAAACATAATTGAAACAATTTGCTTATAAAAACTAAAACAATTAGATTTGAAAGTTAAGGTATTTTCTCAAGAATTGTATGATTTGTGTCCCAAAACGAGTGACAGCAGGATCATTGACAACGTTATCATAATACGTGAGAAAATATAAGTAAGAACCCATAAAATTGTTTTGATATAAGGGTTGCCATACACGACAACAGGAACGGTAGTGGAAAAGCATGGCATCGGACTCATCCACGTTCTCATTGATGGCCATATCCTTCCACTTCCAGACGGTATGAATGCCTAATTCATTGACAGACAGGGGCTTAAGAATAATAGCTTTGGATCTGTCCCTATGCTCCCATTTATATGTCTGTCTAATAGTGGACTTCAATATTCTTGGAAACTTATTCTTAGGATTGAATTCATCGCAAATCATCACATTTGGTATAATAAGTGCACCGATGGATGAGTTTCGCATCTTATGGCTCACATATTGTCTTATATTTGAGTAATTAATGGCCGGAACTATGAGTTCGTCGATATCGACATGTATTACGATATCATTGGCCGCACGAAGAACGCAGTCATTGATGGCAGCGATCTGTCCGTTGGCGTGAATATCGTTGCCATCGATCGGCAAATCAAACGGTAATAACTCAACGAAACTCATACTTAACATGATTTGTCTGATTTGGCGGCTTATGTCTAAATCATAGAAAATAAACTTTTGGATCCCATTCGCTCTATAATAAGCCATGAATTCAAGCAGTTTTGGGGCCGAAGTGAAGGGACCAAAGAGTGGTCGGACACAAACCACTAATGATTTTCTGTTTGCTATTTGATGTCGAAATCTGTGGTCAGAAGACATTGACATTCGTTCCTGAATTAGATGGACACGAATGGGTAAAGTTTCAAATAAGTGGTGCTTATAATTGAAACTTATTTTAACATTCATTGTGTCGTCCAATGAATCACTTCCACAATNTAATCAATACCCCGCGTCAGCATAGAGTACATCACGGAAAGAACCGGTACTGTATTGACAAGAATTATGGCACTACTATCATGTTATGGGACCGCCTTTTCGGGACCTATCAGTCATACGAGGAAAGGCCTGTCTTAGGACTGGTCTCGGCTACGCCCAAGACATACGATTCATTGACTCTACAATTTGGTTATTATTGGGAAATGGTCGTCAAATTCTGTAATTATAAGGGTGTGTCCAATAAGTGGTCAGTCATATGGAAAGGACCTGGATGGGCACCGGGCAAGCCTCGGCTCGGCCTACTAGAAAATGTACCCATTTTGGAGCCAAATGCAGCCAAATATGGTTACGACCCCCATATCCCTCACTGGAAAAAGTTTTATACATTGATTCACATATCGATTCTTATGTTGGCTTTCATGCAATTAGCGGATCACTCGACTATTGTATGAATTCATTGCTCATAAAAATTACTTAATTTAATGTTTCTTATGATTGAACAGAAATACACCTCATATACAGTGATCATAGGAATTGTGTACATAATTCTGTTTCTCACATCAATCGGTGCTTTATTTGACAACCGGTGTGTATTTCTTATAATACAACAGTTGTCTTAAGTTTTCATTATAATCTTAAATTTCTTAATTAATTAATCCTTAGAAAATTGGGACAATATTTGGAAGCGTTTCGCTGTTTCTTATATTTTGGAGTCGAATACTATTTTATGGGTTCTTTTGATTGGTATATAAGTGAAGATCAATTCACTCTCATGTCTACCCTATTCTTCATACGATTTTCGCATATATTGTCGATTATATTTTGGTTGATTTACATCATATATAATCTGATTATTGAAAAGAAAGACCAAACTATGACAACAAC